TATCTGATATCTCAATAACATCGGCACACATGACAGAACTAGGCCATAATACTTTCCTGACGTCACTCAGCAGACGTATATCGGCTCATCGGACACACGGTCCGGACACCGTTCCTCTGATCACAGCCATTATACCATTACAATAATTACGATTGATCAGAGTTTTATCGCCGTTGCACCAAACGTGTGTTGGACTTGGCGAGACAGAGCTTGTAAAATTGATAATGTAATAATGGGCATTTTCCAATAAATATCTGGCCAATTATAAAATATTTGGATTCCTTTTTATTGCGTGTTCGTAATTGTTATCATGAAACTTCCTTTTATTATGATTCCATAGAGCTCTTGCAGAGTTTGAGACAGATAGAGTTCCTGTTCCTACAAGTCTTATGCGAATAGTGGCCCCGGCGTCCTTGCAGGGTTTAATGCAGATAGTGTCCCCGTACTGACAGGGTTTAAGGCAGATAGTGGTCCCGTCCCTATAGGGTTTAATGCTGATATTGTCCCGTACCTACAGGGTTTAAGGCAGATACAAATGTAGTGGCCCCGTCCCTATAGGGTTTAATGCAGATATTGTCCCGTGCCTACAGGGTTTAAGGCAGATGCAAATGTAGTGGCCCCTTCCTATAGGGTTTAATGCAGATATTGTCCCGTACCTACAGGGTTTAAGGCAGATACAAATGTAGTGGCCCCGTCCCTATAGGGTTTAATACAGATAGTGCCCCCGTACCTATAGGGTGTAGGTATATAGTGTCCCCGTCCCTATAGGGTTTAAGGCAGATACAGATGTAGTGGCCCCGTCCATATAAGGTTTAATGCAGATAGTGCCCCCGTACCTATAGGGTTTAAGGCAGGTGCAAATGTAGTGGCCCCGTCCCTATAGGGTTTAATGCAGATAGTGTCCCCGTACCTACAGGGTTTAAGGCAGATACAAATTTAGTGGCCCCGTCCATATAGGGTTTAAGGAAGATAGTGTGACCGTACCTAAAGGGTGTAAGGCAGATAGTGTCCCCGTCCCTATAGGGCTTAAGGCAGATAGTGTCCCCGCACTTATAGGGTTTAAGGCAGATAGTGCCCCCATACCTACAGGGTTAAAGGCAGATAGTGGCCCCGTACGTATAGGTTTTTAGGCAGATAGTGCCCCCGTACCTATATGGTTTAAGGCAGATAGTGCCCCCGTACCTACAGGGTTTAAGGCAAATAGTGCCCCCGTACCTACAGGGTGTAAGGCAGATAGTGTCCCCGTACCTACAGGGTGTAAGGCAGATAGTGTCCCCGTCGCTATAGGGTTTAAGGCAGATAGTGTCCCCGTATCTTAAGGGTTTAAGGCAGATGGTGTCCCCGTACCTAAAGGGTGTAAGGCAGATAATGGCCCCGTCTCTACAGGGTTTAATTTAATGCAGATAGTGTCCCCGTACCTACAGGATATAAGGCAGATAGTGTCCCCGTACCTAAAGGATTTAAGGCAGATAGTGTCCCCGTACCTAAAGGGTCTAAGGCAGATAGTGCCTGTGGTAACGACTCTGATGATAGCCGATATATTTCAAAGTAGATTCATATATGGCGAACACAATTCCGGAGACCGTGCTGGTTATTACATTACTAGCTTTATTAGTAAAGAGTTACTTCCGGTGTTCCGGTTGGGTACATACTAAAGTACTGATTATATAAGATGTACATTACATCTCTCCTCTTTTTTAGTTAAAACATGTTCATAATCATTGACTACAATTTTCATAGTTTTTTTCTTTAAATGTACATGTAATGATATAATAATTTGCATTGTCCTTTCCACTAAATGTCTTTATCACTCGGTAAAAGATTATCATTGTCAAATCACTTGGAAAAAAAAGAATGATTTATATAAATGGATTTAGAGATCTTATATATCTTTTTTTAGCCTTCATCACACTGGAAAAACTCAATTATCGCAACAATGACAAAACACGAGGTTAACTAGAGACCTCTGGGTCTCAATGACTAGCGGGGATTATTGTGCCCCAAACACTGCAAGTCATTACTAGTTTTGCACAAAGTCATCATAACGAGTGTTCTTTTTCCTCTCTCTAGTACTCCTGCATAGTGGCGGCATCACTTCGCAGTGTGTCGATACAGTAGGACTTGACCTTACACAAACAGGCTGTTTTTCTGGAGTGTTTACTGGTTTACAAGCTTCCAAGTTCTCCTTCAGCTCCTCTATTTCCTCATCAAGTTGCTGCTTACTTTGTTGTGCCTTTCCTGGACATTGGTTTATTTTTTTGAAACGCGATACATTTCTTGTTGTTTTACCATCAACGGTGATCATGGGACCTTTCCTGTTCGTGACGGTCCTTGGCTGGATCATACGCCGGTGTGAGTTTGTTGCCTTTCATGTCCTGCTTTACTACAACAACATCAACAACAGATATATCACTGTCTTTTGCATGATTTCTAGCATCAGCGTACAATTTCATTTGACATTTCCTCTTGCTGTCTCTTTCGCGAACTTGTTCGTGCAGGGCATTCTGTTGTCTTTCAGCAACTTGTGGCATCTTTGTTCTTTGTTCGCGACCAAACATAAGTCGGTACGGTGTCTGTCCGGTAGTGCTATGTGACGTGGCACGGTACTGCCTCAAAAATCCAAATAACACCTGTCGCCAGTTCTTTATCTCATAATGAGCTGCTCGCACTACCTTCATTAGCGGCTTATTGAAGCTCTCAGCTTGGACATTAGCTCGAGACCATCTTGGGGTGATGCGTCTGTGATTAAACCCTTGATTCAATTCATACTTCCGGAAAGCTTCTGAATTGAATGGACTTCTGTTATCGCTTTTTACTGTCCTTGGATTACCGAATGTGCTAAACACTTTATCAAGTACTGGTATAGCAGCATTTGCAGAGACAGAGCGCAAATTATCTACGCAAGGGTATCGTGAAAATTCATCTACGAATACATTTTTTCATATCGGTCTGTCGTCGATTAACGTCAGAACTTCGGCCCTCTATAATATGCGAGAAATATGCGACCCGCGCCCGGAGCGCACTTCCAACTGATATTTTAGAAACAAATCGTCACTTTCACACACATGTCGCACATGGATCGAAAGATCTATTCTTTATGCACAAGATGAACATACATAACATGCCCCAAACAACCAATACAATCACTAAAAACATATGTTTTCAAACTTACTCTGTTTTACTCTAGTTTTTTTTATAGCCCCTCCTTCTAATGCCACGTGACTAAAATCTCGCCGGCCTACGTCATAACGTTGGGAAATACCTTAGGTAACGCGGGATCTCGTCAAGTCATGTGACATTGCTCATGGCCTAATTTCCATTAAAAACATGGGTTGGTATAGGAAACGTTGGAAAATACTTTTCGTATTGATCTTTGAAACATGTTATTGATACCACCTAGTGCATAAAGAATAGATCTTTCGATCCATGTGCGACATGTGTGTGGAAGTGACGATTTGTTTCTAAAATATCAGTTGGAAGTGCGCTCCGGGCGCGGGTCGCATATTTCCCGCATATTATAGAGGGCCGGAGTTCTGACTTTAATCGACGACAGACCGATACGAAAAAAGTCGATAAAACGTCAGAATAATTCGGACTAGATCTCGTAGTGATGCTGGAAGTACGAGTCAGTGGTCCCTCAGCAAAATGTTGTCAGAGTGAACAGTTAACCCATCCCGAACACTCTTGATGGCAGTTAGTTCCTCCATATCAATGTTCTCTTCTCTTCCAAGATTTTTTTTGTATCACGCCATCGTCCATTTCTGGTGAACTCAGTGGCTTTCTGTAATGTAGGGGTGTGTAGAGTAGCTTCCCTTACCTCATCTAACTGAATTGCACAGGGCAGGGCTTCCTCTGTCACAAATTTGACATAACATTCCGCAATCTCCTTCTGTGTAGATTTCGTGGATATAACCGGGTATCGAGACATGTAGTCAGCAACATTTGTTTCACCAGGCTCATACCTGATGTTAAGTTTATACGGCTGGAGTATCAGACCCTACCTCTCATTTCTTAGGCTCGGGAGTTTCTGTTTCTGCCATATTTTCCCCAACGGTTTGTGATTCGTAATGACCGTGCACTGTTTCAGTCCCCTCAAATATGTATCATAATGTTCACATGCCCACACGACCCCCAAAGCCTTGCGCTCCACTTGACTGTATCTTGATTCAACAAGTGTTAATGACCTGATTGCATACGAAACTACTTTGTCCTGGACAGGAACCGCACCTAGTCCAAATAGGGCTGGCATCGACCCTCAACTGAACTGGTTTTCTTGGGTCGTAGTACGCCACCACGTTGTCACTTGATAAATAGTTTTTCAGTTTTCTGAATGCCATTTCACATTCTTCATTCCAGTTCCACAGTGCATCTTTGTGAGTTAACTCGCGCAGAAGTTCACAGATTTTCGCATATCCTTCGATAAAACGAGAGCAATAATTAGTCATGCCTAAAAAGCTTCTGGGCACTTTGACATTTTCGGGTTGCTGGAATTCACGCACTGCTTTGACTTTTTCTGGGTCTGCAGAGATTTCATCTTTGCTGAAGACTACACCGAAAAACGAGATCTTCTCCTTCTGGTTTTCATACTTACTTTTGTTCAATGTAAGTCCACTACGCTGAGCCTATTCAGGGTCTCTCTCAGGGCGGTGTCATGCTCCATCTTGTTTTTGCCATAGATGATGATATCAACAGAAATATCTCTGGATCCTGCGATTCCTTCAATGACCTGTCGGATCATTTCCTGGAAAACTTATGACGCTGACGAAATTCCAAAATTGAGACGTTTGTATCTATAGAGTCCCAAATGTGTAGAGAAAGTTTGGATATATCTCGAGTCTGCCTCTAGCTCAAGTTGGTGCTAGCCACTTCTCAGAACCAGTTTACTGAACATCTGAGCACCATTTAGGTCCAAGATCAGCTCGTCAATGGTGGGCATCACCTGTCTTTCTCTAAGTATTGCTTTATTGGCCTCGCGCATGTCCACACACAGTCTGATCTCATCAGGGTTTTTCCTTTGGCGGAGTGACAATGGGCGATACCCATGGTGTAGGAACACCCTCTACTTTCTCTATTATATCCTCCGCGAGTAATTTGTCGATCTCATTTTTGACTTTATCTCTGAGGTGAAATGAAGTCCTTCTGTGTCGTTGTGCTACTGGAGGGACAGCACTATTTATGTGGAGCTTTGCACGTCTATTGTTAAGCTTTCCTGTGCCTCTAAACAGTTCAGGAAACTCGTCCCCCACATTGCCAACTTGAACTTGTCGAACCACCTTCAGTAAGGAGAGCTTTGTAGCTGATTGACAGCCAAGCAGCGAACCACAGTGCTTTTTGTCCACTACATAGAACTCGATAACATCATAAGTCTTTGTTGTTTCAACATTGATCATGCACGTACCTTTTACTTGCAAAGACTCACCTCCCCCAAAGGGCACCAGTTTATTCTTTACATTTTTTAACAATGTCGCCCCAGTCTCTCACAGATGATCCGCTGTCTATTAATAGCTTTGTGTCGCGATTCTGAAGTTTAACATTCACATAAGGTCCATTGGTCATCCTTTTAGAAGAGATATTACGAATTTCTTGCACTCCGTTACAGTATTCATCTTCACTTTCATCGCGGGGCGTTTCAACATCGACAGCTTTAACCGTCTTTTTTGTGAACTTATTCCGACACATTCTGCTAAAATGACCTTGACCTTGACATGCATAACATTGTTTACCCTTTGCCGGCCAAGGACCACTTTTGTGTCGGAATGTACCACTACAGTTCCTACATTGTGTTGACTGGGCTTGTTTTTGATAAAGTTTATATTGGGACGAGTTTGTCTTTGGGTAATTTTTTTCCCGATTTTCTCGGGGCGAGATGGTATATCTTGGATTATAAAATCCGTTTGAATTTTGAACGTTTGAATGGGGTTTCTTTTGATAATTTACCCTTTTGGTACTCACTGCATTAACTGTTTGTTGTCTCTCCATGGTCAACGCCTGTGTTTCAGCGAGCTCCATGGCCCTTCCATATTTTAGGATGTCGTCTAGCGTTTTGTCCGGCTCTCTAAGTGCACGTTGCCTTAGCTGGTTTGATTGACAGTTCTGTATCACCTGTGTAAGGATTTCTTTGTCTACGTTTGTAAACTCAGTCTTTCGACAATCTTCTAAAATCTGTAACAAATTCGTCCAAAGATTGCCCTTCTTTCTGTGCGCACTAGCGGAAGTTGTAAACTTCAATTTGTGTGTTCTTTCTCGGTTTAAAATATGGCGACAATACCTGTTTCGTAGCAACATATGTAGTTTCTGATTTTCCTTTTTGAGCTTCACATAGTCGTATGCTTTATCTCCTTCGTAGTGGAGGAGTAGGGCTCTCCGACGAGTGTCATCGTCTAGCTCCATTGCTACGAAGAGGTTTTCAAGTCTGGTAAGCCACCTCTCCCATCTGGGGCCGGCACTCGACTTGTCGACGTCCGAATCAAATGGTGGAAACGCTGGGAGTTTATCCATGGTTTTCCTCGTCGCCAAATGTGGTAACGACTCTGATGATAGCCGATATATTTCAAAGTACATTCATAGATGGCGAACACACAACTCCGGAGACCATGCTGGCTATTACATTACTAACTTTAATAGTAAAGAGTTACTTTCGGTGTTCCGGTTGATAACATACTAAAGAACTGATTATATAAGATGGGCGTTACAGTGCACCCGTACCTACATGTTTTAAGGCAGAAAGTGTCCCCGTCCGTACAGGTCTTGACGCGGATAGTGACTCCTTCTCTATAGGGTTTGAGGGGGAAATTGCCCCTGTCCCTACATGGTTTGATGCGAATCGGGGCACCGTCCCTACAGGGTTTTAATGCGGAAATGACTCAGTCCTTACAAAGTTCGAGGCGAATAGCGTCCCTCTCCCTCTTTAGGGTTTGGGGCGGATCGTGACTGAGTTCGAGGCGAATAGCGTCCCCGTCCTTCTCCTTTAAAGTTGGAATTAATTTTAAAATCGGTAAAAGTTAGAAGGTGACAGAGTTATTGAAGTGTAAGAGTTGGATCTTTTAACCTAGTGGTTAGTGATCAAAGGTTTTATCGTTTGGATAGCGGTTTCATTCATATAGAAGATGCCTTAAAGGGGTGGTGGAGAATAGTGGCATCGGCCTTAAAGGGTTGGTGGAGGATAGTGGCCTCGGCCTTAAAGGGTTGGTGGAGGATATTGGCCTCGGCCTTAAAGGGTTGGTGGAGGATAGTGGCATCGCCCTTAAAGGGTTGGTGAATGATAGTGGCATCGGCCTAAAAGGGTTGGTGGAGGATAGTGGCATCGGCCTAAAAGGGTTGGTGGTGGTAAGTTGCTCCGTCATTACAAGGCTGGAGATGAACATTTGAACCTTCATTACAAAGATGGGGGTGAATAGTAGCTCAGTCCTTTACGGTTGAACTGGAAATGTAGTTTTGTCATTTAATGGTAATCGTTGATAGTGGCCCCATTTTTGAATAGTGACATTTGAACTGAAAAAGGTTTGAGGGGATTGTAGCACCGCCCCGAAGACGGAAATGAATTGGCATACAAGCCCTAAAGTGTTTAATGAGAGAAGTTCCGTCATGAAAGCCTTAAAGAGTTGGAATAGTATAATTGCACCACTGACTAAGACGTAATGGTGGTTTGTCCTGACAGCCTTAAAAAGTTGGAATAGTATAATTGCACTACTGACTAGGACGTAATGGTGGTTTGTCCTGACAGCCTTAAAGAGGTGGAATAGTATAATTGCACTACTGTCTAGGACGTTATGGTGGTTTGTCCTGACAGCCTTAAAAAGTTTGAACAGTATAGTTGCACTACTGACTAGGACGTAATGGCGGTTTGTCCTGACAGCCTTAGAGTTGGAAAAGTATAGTTGCACTACTGACTAGGACGTAATGGCGGTTTGTCCTGACAGCCTTAGAGTTGGAAAAGTATAGTTGCACAACTGACTAGGACGTAATGGCGGTTTGTCCTGACAGCCTTAGAGTTGGCGGTGGATTGTGATATCGTCCCTACAGGGTTGAAGGTGGATAGCAGCACTGGCAATAAGGATGAACACTGTCCTTTAAAAGCAACGTCATTTAGAGTGGATATTGAGCTGGGTAAACACACATGGTTTCAAAGGGTGGTATTGGTACATTTGGTACATTGTCCATGATATGGTGGATGTGGAGAATGGTATCATCCTAATTATGTACATGCGGAGATAACTATGGCATATGAGTATGCTCACTGTTTATTTTAACGTATAGTCCCCTTTACATTGTAATAAGGTTTAGGTGATGTGGATATGCTGATGATGTTATGATGGGTACAGCTGCTGGAGTTGGTGACTGTATCACTGACGGCCGAGTGTCTGCTGCATACACTACAATTTTTGTATCAGCAACTGTCTATTACAGGGAGCATATATAGTGATCATAAATATTTTATCACAAATAATCGGCATGCTTCGTTCTTTTATAACAATAAAAACAATAGCCGTAATATGTTTATTATTGCCACTTTCTGATCCACCGTTGAAACCTATGATGTTGTTTCTTGTGACGCAGGGTGGCGTTAAAGTCGCCATTGCTGGACTAGTTCCTTCCAGTGCCGTAGGGTGGCGTTAATGTTGACTTGCAGTGGGACTGGATATGTTAATGGTGGACAGTACTTCCCTAATTAAATGTTCTCCTGTTCGGAGAGTTAGCGGCCGATATATCAGGAATTTGAGAAAGAGCAGGTGGAGCAATAAAATCTATTAACCACCTTCTACTGTACCGATACTAAATTTCTACTATATTTAAGTTCCGTCTTCCTCCCTAATTCCCTCCCGTTAATTCTGTCCATACTACTTTCTTATTTACTCCTCATTACCTCCTCATCCCTTCCACTATACCGCCCCACTACCTCCTCATCCCTTCCACTATACCTCCCCACTACCTCCTCATCCCCTAAAAAATACCGCCCCATTACCTCTTCACACCATCAACTATACCACCCACTACCGCCTCACACCTTCCACTATACCGCAACACTACCTCATCATCCCTTCAACTATGCCACCCCACTACCTCCTCATCCCCTCCACTATACCGCCCAGCTACCTCCTTATCCCCTCCACTATACCGCCCAGCTACCTCCTCATCCACTCCCTTACTCACTACCTCCTTATCCCCTCCACTATACCGCCCAGCTACCTCCTCATCCCCTCCCTTACTCACTACTTCCTCATCCCCTCCACTATACCACCCTTCTACCTCCTCATTCCCTCCACTATACCGCCCCACTACCTCCACATCCCCTCCACTATACCGCCCCACTACCTCCTCATCCCCTCCACTGTACGCATTCCTTATTATTCATCCCCTTCACTATACCGCCCCACTACCTCCTTATCCTATCCACTATACCGCCCCATTGCCTCCTCATCCCCTCCCTTACTCACTACCTCCTCATCCCCTCCACTATACCACCCCTCTACCTCCTCATCCCCTCCACCAAACCGCCTCACTACCTACTCATCACTTCAACTATACCGCCCCACTACCTCCTCATCCCCTCCATAATACCGCCCCACTACCTCCTCATCCCCTTCACTATACCGCCCTACTACCTCCTCATCCCCTCCACTATACCGCATCACTACCTCCTCATCCATTTCACTATACCGCCCCACTACCTCCTCATCCCCTCCACTATACCGCATCACTACCAACTCATCCCCTTCACTATACCGCCCCACTACCTCCTCATCCCCTCTACTATACCTCCCAACTACCTCCTCATTCCCTCCCTTACTCACTACCTACTCATCCCCTCTACTATACCGCCCCACTACCTCCTCATCCCCTCCACTATACCGCATCACTACCTCCTCATCCCCTTCACTATACCGCCCTACTACCTTCTCATCCCTTCCACTATACCGCCCCACTACCTCCTCATCCCCTCCTCAATATCGCCCCACTACCTTCTCATCCTCTCCACTATACCGCCCCACTACCTCCTCATCCCCTTCACTATACCGCCCTACTACCTTCTCATCCCTTCCACTATACCGCCCCACTACCTCCTCATCCCCTCCTCAATATCGCCCCACTACCTTCTCATCCTCTCCACTATACCGCCCCACTACCTCCTCATCCCCTTCACTATACCGCCCTACTACCTTCTCATCCCTTCCACTATACCGCCCCACTACCTCCTCATCCCCTCCTCAATATCGCCCCACTACCTCCTCATCCCCTCCACTATACCGCATCACTACCAACTCATCCCCTTCACTATACCGCCCCACTACCTCCTCATCCCCTCTACTATACCTCCCAACTACCTCCTCATTCCCTCCCTTACTCACTACCTACTCATCCCCTCTACTATACCGCCCCACTACCTCCTCAT